AGAGGGGACAGAAAGCAGGACTGGGGGAAACGAGTTCCAAGTTTGAAAGGTTTCGACTTAACGCCATTAACTCTGATGGCTATGATCAGCACCGGCTATCAGAACACAATGATTGGATGGCCCTTAGCAACTGATCATCTATCCCGTATGTGCGAAGGCACGTAAACAAACTATTGCGTGGCATCCGGTCATAGGCTTTTTCTACGTCAACAAAACACATGTACAACGGACGGGTGCACTACACGATTTCTCAACAATCTGGCGAAGGGCAAATATATAGTTAGAGGTGCTTCGACCGGGCCGGAAGCCACACTGCGCTTCTTGGATCTTGACTTCAGCTATTTCACGGCACCTCCTTTCTAACACCTTTGCGCAGACCTACATGGGAGGCTCCATAAAGCTATGCCCCCATAACTGGAGCATTCCTTGTGGTCTCCCTTGAATACGGGCACAATAACTCCCGTTCTCCAGTACGCTCATTATTGAGCCTCATAAGTAAAGTCTACGCAAAGGTGTTAAAAAGGAGGTGCCGTGAAATAGTTGACCTCAAGATCCAAGAAAAGCAGTGTCGCTTCCGGCCGGTCAAAGCACCTCTGACCATATATTTGCCGTGCGGCAGATTGTTGAGAAATCGTGGGAGTACGCCCAGCCGATGTACATGTCTTTGTGGACCTAGAAAAAGCGATGATCGGATTCCACGCAACAGTCTGTGGACATGCTTTCGCGATTACGAGATCGATCGCCAGCTGCAGAGCCATCCAACCATTGTATTCTGAAAGCAGGTGCTGCCTCAGAATTAATGGCGTTTAATTGAAACCATTCAACGTTCGCACTGGTCTCCGCCAAGGCTGGGTCTTGGCCCCTATCCTGTTTGTGTGGTACATGGATAGAATAGCCAGGAGCTGCCAAGGCGAAGAGGGTATCGGTGTAGGAGATGTGAAGTCCAGAGGGATGCTGTTTGCAGACGACCTTGTTTTATTAGCATCTTCTGAAACCGATCTTCAGTGCTCCTTAGAAAGGTTCGCAACCGAGAGCGACGTGACCGGCATGCGTGTGAATGCATCTAAAACGAAACGCCTAGTGCTTTCTCGTCCTCCTGCCCGTTGCTCTCTTCTGATTAATGTTGAGGCACTGGAGCAGGAGGAGAAGTTCAAGTACCTCGGAACTGTATTTACTAGTGATGGAAAATTGGAGGAAGAGATAGACCTGCGAATTGGAGTAGCCAGTGACGTTCAGCATGACTAAAGCAGAGCTCAGTCTGAAAGCTAAGCTCTCAATATTCAAGTCGATCTTTATCCCCGTACTTACCTACGGTAATGAATCGTGGACCATCACTGAAAAACTTCGAACCCGGGTACAAGCTGCTGAAACGGGCTTTCTTAGACG